AGACCACCGTCTCGACCCGCCTACCGCTTGCCGAAACCAGAGATGGACGAGCTCCAGTCACAGCTGTCAGAATTACTTGAGAAGGGATTCATTGAGCCAAGTAAGTCGCCATACGGTGCACCTATGTTTTTTGTGAAGAAGTCGGATGGTACTCTGAGAATGGTGGGCGATTAGCGAGAATTGAATAAAATTTCGATCAAAAAACAAAACCTGTCTTCCTAATATTGATGACTTATTCGACACGATCCAGGGCAGTGCATATTTCTCCAAGTTGGACTTGCGGTCGGGGTACAATCAAATCATAATTCAAGACTCGGATGTTTTTAAGACGGCCATTAATACGCCGTTCAGCCACTTCCAATTTAGAGTCATAGGATTCGGGCTGACTAATGCCCCGCCCACCTTTCAGTCACTCACGAACTCTATTCTGCAACCGAATCTCCGAATATTCGTTGTAGTATTCTTGGATGACATTCTAGTTTTCAGCAAGACCTGGGAAGATCATCAGCATCATCTTCAAACAGTTCTAGAAACACTTAAAATAGTGAGCTGTATTGCAAACAGTCTAAATGCGAATTCGGCGTGAGAGTTCTCTTCTTGGGGTATAAAATCAAGGGCACATCAATTTCCCCTGATCCCAAGAAGATAAGTGCTGTGGAAACATGGCCAACTCCGTCGTCAGTAACTGATGTGAGGAAGTTTCTTGGCTTTGCAAACTATTTCCGAAGGTTCATAGATTGACACTCGACCATCTCTCGTCCATTAGAAGAAATCACCGGAAAAAAGTCACGCTTTGAAGGGAGCGCTGCTAGACAGAAGGCATTCGAGTCTCTTAAATCAGCATTACTCGAGGCGCCAGTGTTACAACTGGCCGATGTTGAGAAAAGCTTCACGGTAGAAACTGACGCAAGTGACTTTGCCGTGGGGGGTGTGCTCCTGCAGCAGGGAGAAGATATGGATTTGCATCCCGTAGCCTATTGTAGTCGGAAACTGTCAGCTGCAGAACGCAACAATACCGCGGCCGAGAGGGAAGCGTTGGCTGTGGTATTTGCATTTTAATGTCAAAGTGGCGGAATAGATAGATTCTCCAGCACTTTAAAAAGTGCTGGAGAATCTATCTATTCCGCCACTTTGACCTGATAACTGATAATATGGGTGTTGTCAATTTACGAACCAAACCGACCCTCACCAAGCGTGAGGCAAGATGGGTAGAGTTTTTACCTGACTATGACTTTACGGTCTTTCACAAACCAGGAAAGAAAAACATTGCCGATCCGCTTTCACGCCGTCCAGATCTGTTCAGTGATTCTGAAATAGGCGGGTCATCCTATCCTCCTAACATTCAGTTGAAAGCCATAGAGCATACCCTAGAGATTAATCCAGACATAGCGCAGTTAATTGTCAACGGTTACAAGCGCGACAAGGATCTTGCTCCCATTATCAGAAGACTGAAAAATTCAAGCCATGGCAATCTGCACGACCATTACCTTCTAAATGAAACACCCGGTTATCTTTATCTCAGATCTTCACCACAGAACCGGTTATGCATTCCAAAGAGTAGCAAACTCGCCCTGCTTCAAGAATACCATGACTGTGTGACTGCGGGGCATCCCGATCGAGATCGCACATATTTCAGACTTGCTAGATATTTCTATTGGCCCAGAATGGGACTGGATGTAAAGGCGTTTGTCAAGTCATGTGACCTCTGCTAACGATTTAAAGGTGGCCAGCTAAAAACTGGTCTCTTGCAGAATTTACCAGTGCCCAGTCAGCCGTGGGCAGACATCTCGATGGATTTTATCATGGGTTTGCCTAGGACCGATACAGGTCATGATGCTATATATGTACAAGTATTTGTAGACCGCTTGATAAAGTGTGTACATGTAGCACCTACTTCCTCTACTATTGACGCTAAAGGAAGTGCTGATCTGTATATTCAACATGTATTTCGACTGCATAGTTTGAGTTCTAGTATTGTATGTGATCGTGATCCAAGATTTACTACAACATTTTTTCAGGAATTGTTTGATCGCTTAGGAACGAAACTAGCATTTAGTACTGCCAATCACCCTCAGACAGATGGCCTAACTGAACGAGTAAACAGAATAGTAGAGGATGTGCTGAGGGCTTTTGTAAATCATAAGCAAGATAACTGGGATATGCTCCTACCTCCCTGTGAGTTTTCTATCAACAGCGCTACTCAATCATCTACAGGAAACACACCGTTCTTCTTTTAAAAATTATGGTCTAAATCCCAGAGCGCCACCCGACTTCCTCAACCCTATTGAGGGAGGCAGAGATTCAGCTGATTGGTTGCAAGCAAGACAAGACGCGGTCAAGATCTCACAAGATGCGCTAGTGGCAGCTCAAGCTTGTCAGGCCTTCTATGCAGATTGGACAAGGGTCGAGGGAAAGCTGAAGGTGGGAGATTTGGTAATGGTCTACCGGGATTTCCTCCTAACTCCTGAAGCTCGGGACCGACCATCCCATAAATTACGCCCCACGTGGTTTGGCCCCTTTCCTATAACCCAGGTGGTCGGCCCGAATGCCTACAAGCTCAAGTTGCCTCATACCAGCCGCTGTCACCCGGTAGTTAATGTGTCGGCACTCCGTGCCTACCAGAAGAATGCTATTCCTAATAGGAGACAGCCTACACCTCCGCCTATCACGGAGCTTGATGGTCATGCCCGCTATGTGGTGGAGAACATTCTCAGTCACCGCCACCGGCAGAATCAGCTTCAGTACCTAGTCAAGTGGCAAGGCTACTCTGATGCCACTTGGGAGCCTGAACATTATTTGTTGAATGAATCTGGTAATGACATTGTTCCACTTCAGAAGTACAAAACCTTGGCTTCTGCCCGCTGAGTTTTGCAGTTGAACTTCTAGTTTTCACCTTACACCTTTTTTTGAGCTTATTACACTTTTATTTGCATGGAGTTTCAGTCGTCTTATTGTGTTACTTCAGTGCGAACCCTTTTTTCGTCTTGCACGTGTTTGCGCTTATTGTACTCTATTCCACTTGAGCATTTGGGTTATAAGCTCCTTCCTCTCCATAGGAGAGGGATGATGTAACAGTTTTCCCCTGTTCGCTATAACTTTACACTCCCTCGCACCTCATGCATCTTACGCCTGTCTATTAGCACCTTCATTGGCGCCATTGCCACATGTATACTATCACCTTTTGCATATAACTGGTTGAGGCGCGCTCAACCAGGCCTCTTACTTTTCAAGTTCGATTAAACCTGTTACAGCCATCAGTCACGGAAGTGTCAAACCAAGTCTCAGCTACTCGTCAAACACGAGCATGTTTCGCGTGGTCAAGACGGAGCTCTAACCCAGCCCTCCCTTCGCATTGCCATTTCATGGCTTGCTAATGGTCCCTATTATCACTCATCACCCTCTGGCTTGGCTTGTCTTTCTTGTCTGCACTCGCCATTATTATTATCCTGGCTTTCCTACTTGAATGATCTATTACATTGGTGACGAAGTGAGGCTGGGAGCCAGAAATTTCTTTTTGGAGCCAAGGAGGACATCAATTCGTTGAAAGAAGTAGTGGCAGCATCGAGTGAAAAGCCCTTCTCTCGTGGCTCGCCGGCCTGGAACAGTGTACTCGTACTCCTGAATTTGCCTACTAACTACGAGGCCAAATGGAAGCCGATAACCATTCCGTACACTTGGAGATAGAACGCATTTGCTGGTGGAGGCGCACATCCGGCAGAAGAACTACAGCGCCAGACCAACCAGTACATCTGAGGATTCATGCTATCGGAAAAGTGCAGAAGCACTACTCCAGGGTAATTGCATGCATCCACTGCCGGCTATTACTTTTAAACGCTTTGCGCTTCTTCGTGCCCCCCCCCCCCCCCTGCCTGCCTGCCAACGTGGAGCTCCTCGCCCCATCTTCACTCCCCCGTAACAGCTTCCTCGGTTGCCGAGGCTAGGCTCCGATAAGTGAATTATCCTCCTAGAAAAGACTGCTGTACTTGCTTATTATTAGTTTTTTCTTTTATAATTGTTATGGTAATCAAGAATACTAATTGTGCGGTAACTATGCATTCGGCGACCTGACACCTAGCTCCAAAACTTCTCCAAGGCGCAAACCAACAACCTTCAAACTATTTTCGCACTATTTTTTTGTCTACCGTCCTGCTTTCGTTTCGCGTGGATATTTTCTCAGTACAGTCGTATGAAGTTGTTTTTTTAATCTTGAAGTACTGCGGTACCAGAAAAGCGGTACTAGCTGAGTTCAGACTTTTCCCATTCCAACTCCGTCAAACTTATGAAAACTCGCCCACTTCGTACAATGGGTTATAAGTACTAATAGTATTTTATCTTTAGAAGTTTACATCTGAGGATTCCAATGCGATCGCGAGGAACTTTGAAATTACGAGCGCCATTCTGCTCTGTTCCTGTGGCAACGTCGTCAATCCATATCACGTCACGCTAAATGCTAGTCATGTGTGCAAAACACGTATCCTGCACCTCAATCGATGCGATCAAGTACGTCAAAAGGCCTACGTTGTAGCGTTTGTAGTGTGGTGCTAAAGGTCCCTATTACCTTCTATCACTTCCCTGCTATTTCTCGCATCATTATGGCTCTAGAGGTTAGTGCAACTTCGGCGATAACTGGGGAAATTATAGTTCTAGCTGTTTCTTATAACCCCTTGCTCTCGGATCGACAATTGTATTATTCTGAAGCCAACTTTCACAGTGTCCACCATTCTGCATTTTGATGGACAGGGACACAGCCATCCAGACATTGTGAAAATATTCTAATTATGTGAAAGCATGTAGGGTTGGCTGGAAACCGCTCCGTTCATTAGAAACTTGCCTACTGTGTACTTTCCAGTGGTGCAAAAACCATTAGTGAATGGAACGGAAAGCAGCTGAGAAAGCGCTTACCCATTGAGCTGTTTATCCCCCCGTGTTTTTTTTTGTGCGTTTCATTCGCTCATATGTCTCAATGTGTCTTGATGGATTCGTTTGCCAATACGATGTAGTTATCCATGGCTATTGTTCAAGTGCGATCAATTTAACAAATGGAGTTGTCCATGTCTCCAATACACACGTTGGAGCTGAGGCAAATGGTACATGTAATCAAGGTTACCTCCCATCGAATAACTCAACAATGACATGCCAGGAACAGAATGCAACCCATGGTGTGTGGGATAATCTTCTAAGCTGCAACCGTAAGTCAGGCATTTCCGTGTTGAAGTGTAACAGTAGTATGCTGCATCCACAGCTTTGCTTATGCTGAATGCCTCAGGTCAGAAGAGAGAGGAGAGAAAACAGGGAGTTAACACCTAATACTCGGGTAAACTGTACTTGCTGTAGCGTCACAGTAACATGAAAAGACCAGAACTTCATGGGCATGGCACATTTTTTATTGTTACAGTCTAGGCAGTTTTATCTGGACCTCAAGTGTCAAGTCCCCTCACTCCACCAGGCAACTTGCAGGGGACCATTGACCCTGTGACTGTTGGTGTCCTCCGACACTTTTTTCGACATCCGATCAGAAAATTCCAGTCATTTGGAGAACATGAGGCGTTGGCTGCACACAGCACTGTCCATGGGGTTTTGGGGTTTTAGGGTTTTAGGGATTTTGAGTAGTTGAAGGTGCCCACAGTGAACTGTCTGTGTGATATAAAAGAAATTATTTTTGAAAAAATGAGAAGAACCACATGAGAACAAGGTGTGCAGCAACTGTATACGACTGTAACAAGATGATAAACGGACAGGAAGTGCGATAATAGAGCACAAAACTGAAAGGCTACTGAGAAATTCAGCTGTTGATTTGGGCACTGGAGATGTGTTAGAGCTAGGTCTTGGGTCACTGAATGTCTCAGTAGCTTGTCAGTTTTGTGCCCTATTATCGCACTTTCTGATTGTTCATCATCTTGTTACAGTCGTGGATAGTTGCTGCATAACTCGTTCTCATTTGTTTCTTCTCTTTTTTTTACATTTATTACTGGCTCAGTATGCGAGTTTAAATTATTATTGAATTGAGCAAACTTGGGTAGTGTTCTCTAATTGAAGTGTTTATCTCCCTGTTTTCCTATTTCTTTACTTTCTTTCATGCGTCTTTCTTGCCATCGTGTTGGATTCATTTGCCCATACTTGGTTTACTACTAGGTATCTCTACATATTGCTCCACTGTGACCAGCATAATCAAAGGAGTTGTGCATGCGAACTATACACACATCGGAGCGGAGGCGAATGTTACATGTAATCACAGCTACCGTCTATCGAATAATTCCAAAGTGACATGCCAGGCATACAATGATACACATGGTGTGTGGAAGAATCTAAGCTGCAACTGTAAGTGACACAATCTACCGTACGCACTGGATAGTTCACTGTACATACTCAACTCTGCAACGAAAATACTATCGCCATGAAAAAGAGCGCTTATAGGAAAGGCCTTGAAATAGTTTTTCAGCGGTGTTTGAAATACAGTAAAAAAATGGTTGACAGCTGACAAAATAAATGCAGACTTCTCCCTCTGAATTCGAAGTTTCCGTCGAGCCATATGTCGACCCATTCAAAGGCAATTTCACAGGAGGTGTCAAAGCCAGCATTGCCATTGACTGAATCTCCCAAGCGCAGTCTGGTACGCCACTGCGATGAGGGCACAGACAAGAGTGAAGTGATCTTGGGTGGAACTTGTACAGACGTGTGACTTCGACCAGCCACTCCTTTGATAGACTGTGGAACGCTTTCCTAACATCTAACCAAGCCATTGCTAAAGTGCGGCGATGGCGTCTAGCATCCTGGGTAATCATAGTATGTATCAGCAGCTGGTCAGTGCAGCCTCCTCAGTTACGAGTGCAGCCAGTTTGGCTGGCCCAGTGAAAACCACTCAGGTGCACCCAGCTCACCATCAAGAAGCAGCTGTAATTTTCGAAGTAGGGCTGGCTGGAGGGCGGTATTTTTCTAATTCCAGAATGGTGGGATCTGGTCACGACCAGAAGCACGCCAGTGCGGCATCTTGGAGATCGCAGCAGACACTAGAAGGAGATGAAGTAGGCCAAGCACAAACTGACCTACTATTGCCGTTTGTTGGCCAACAGCAAATTTCATTCTACTTTTGGTATAGTATGAGGAGATAGTGAAAAGAACTGATATACATTGTACCATGTCAATCGGCAATTATTCATAGTCTTGGCAATCCACAAAGATGCAGGCTAGTTTTAGATGCGGCTTTTTACTACTAGCCCCGACCAGCCTCTAAACCATTTTAAGGCGGCCCTGCTCTAAAAGGGCGGAACATGATCCGAGGAACAGGTAAGGTACCCTGAAACCATGAAAACACGTGACAAACCATTTCAGCAGCAAGAAAGATATTGAGGCTCTCAAATATGAGGAGATAGTTCTGACCGATCCGTTACCGTTAACAATGGATTCCGACGGCAAATGTGCGTTCCCAGCTCTGTCGCATGGCACAGACTGGTAGCTAGAAATCCAAACTGGTGCGCACTCAGGTACACGGAACACCTTTTGACTGCTTCTTATTTTCATTGGCAGAGTGGTGATATTGTTATCTGGACCTCATATGTCCAGTCCCCTCCAGCAACCAGACAACTTGCAGGAAAGTATTGAACATTTGCATATTAAAAATCCAGGACACTGCCATGGAGATCCGGTGAAAATTACGATCATTCCAGATGATCCGGGGTGGGCTGGAGACAGCCCCATCCATGGGTTTTGAGCAGTGTTTCAGCCATGTTTGTTTGTTTGCCTTCATTCATGCATCTTCCTCAATGTGTATTGGTGGATGTCAATTACTTGCCATGCTACTGGATAGTTTATTCGCATTGCCCAAACTATATCAATGTGCCAAATGGAATTGTTCTTGTGTTCAATAATGACACTGGAGGAGAAGCAAATGTTACATGTAAAACAGGATATCGCCCATCAAATAATTCGCCAATGAAATGCCAGGAACACAATGCTACACACAATGTGTGGACCAATCTACAAAGCTGCCTTCGTAAGTTATCCGACATGCACATGCAGATACTAGACCGCTCTGAAGTACACAAACATACAGGGCACAGATTTTGGATGTATGCGGGTGCTGGCTGCGAGTGAGGCAAAGTGGCTCAACATAGAGCACTGAGTGATTGAACGCATCAACTCATTGCTGTTAAGAGTGTGCTAGCACACAGTATTTATTCCTGAAAAGTGGGCCAGTAGTGGAGGTTCTGGTTACACATAATGGTAAGGATGGGGTTGGCGGGGAAAGAATTCAGAAACCAACCAATTCTGCTGAGCAAAAAGCGGCGAAAAAACAACAACTAAACAGTTTGAGCTATCCTTTGAGCTATCCTTTGAGCTATCCTTTGAGCTACCCTTTGAGCTATCCTTTGAGCTATCCAAAATAGCCGCCTTATACAGTGTATGCTCGATAGTTGAGTTGTAAGTACGACCCAGAGCTGGGACAGGCACACAGTAGTAAGTACGACCCAGAGCTGGGACAGGCACACAGTTGTAAGGCGGTGTTTACATGAGGCGTTTCAACCCGGGTTGAGTTCGACCCGGGTCAGATTTCAACCCGCCATGTGCATAAAATGAATTGCGCGTTTACATGACGCATTGCGCTTGACCCGGGTTGAAATTTCGCCCCGGGTTGATTTCAACCCTCCCCCCAAGAGGAGGGTTGAAATCAACCCGGGTCAAGAAAATCGTACAAACGTACTTCTGTGCGTATCTCGCGCCAGGTTGGAACGGCACTGCAGATGCAAATTTCGCGCGAACCACAGGAACACCTAAGGAGACGTCTAGAACTTTGGCGAACAGCAAGCCTGCCGGAACTGCTCCGCGAGTCAACCACCATCCAGAAGCAGGTCCAGGACAGGCACCAGCCAGCCGCCCGATCGACCCCCCCTGACCTGGCAAGGGCGTTCGCCGCTAATGTGTCCTCCGGCAAACTACCATCCGCCCTCCGTCAGCTATCAAGTGGTGGCTGCAAAGGAGTTCTCAGCCTGGACACCACTGTCGGCACTGATACCACCCGTGACCTTCTTATCAGCAAACATCCGGCAGGGGAGCCGGCTGATGCAGAGTCTCTGCTCACGGGTGAGCCACCTGTTCAGCCCCACAGAGTGATGTTCTCAAGCCTGACCCGTGACGTCATCCGCCGGGCCGCCCTGCACACCCACGGCGCGGCTGGGCCATCGGGCATGGACGCTGATGGATGGCGGCGCATGTGCACCGCGTTCTCCGAAGCGTCGGATGAGCTGTGTGACTCGCTTGCAACATGCGCTCGTCGCATTGCTACCACATACGTCAACCCAGCGACACTGGAGGCGCTCGTCGCATGCAGATTAATAGCCCTTGACAAGTCGCCGGGTGTTCGACCCATTGGTATCGGCGAAGTGGCCAGGCGCATTGTCGGCAAAGCCATCCTCACTGTCACCGGGAGAGATATCCAAGATGCAGCGGGCACCCTTCAACTGTGTGCCGGTCAGGAGTGCGGCATTGAAGCTGCCATCCATGCGATGCAAGATGTCTACCGTGAGGAGGATGCGGATGCCATATTGCTCGCCGACGCTTCGAACGCCTTCAACCGGCTTAACCGTGAAGCCTGCCTACGGAACATCCGTCACCTCTGTCCCTCTATAGCGCCAGCTGTAATCAACCCCTACCGCCAACCATCCCGCCTATTCGTTGATGGAGAGTGCTTGCTATCGTGCGAGGGTACCACTCAGGGTGACCCTCTGGCCATGCCCGTATATGCGCTTGGAGTCCTCCCGCTCATCAAGAAAGTTGCAGTGCCTGGTGCGAAACAGGGCTGGTATGCGGACGATGCTGCAGCCGGTGGCAAGCTAACGCCTGTTCGCCAATGGTGGGACAATCTCGTCAGCCACGGTCCTGGGTATGGCTACCACTGCAATGCCCAGAAGTCACTCCTCCTGGTCAAGCCCTCCAGGTACGCAGCTGCTATCGAGATGTTCGAGGGGACCGGTGTGCAGGTCACGTGTGATGGTTGCCGCCACCTTGGTGCACCTTTGGGCACGGATGAGTTTATAGAACAATTTGTCCAGTCCAAGGTTGCCACCTGGTGTGAGGAAGTTGCGCAGCTCACGACCATCGCTGCATCGCAGCCACAGGCCGCCTACTCCGCCTTCACACAGGGCCTGCAAAACAAGTGGTCCTTCCTCTGCCGGACCTCCTCCATCCCGCCATCCTTGCTTGAACCGCTGGAACACGCAATCAGCGGTCGGCTCATCCCGGCCATCACGGGTCAGGCTCCACCTGGGACAACTGTTCGCTCCCTACTCTCTCTGCCTTGCCGGCTTGGGGGACTGGGTATGGCAGACCCATGTTCAGTGGCTGAACAGTACACCTCATCCCGAAGGATCACGGCTAGCCTCGTGTCTCGCCTGCTGGAGCAGGAGTCGTCTCTTGGCGACTCTCTGACTCAGCTCCGGACGGTCAAGGCGACGGTTCGGGCCGAGAAGCGGAGCGCGTTCAAGTCTATGGCTGACGCTCTTCGCTCGGATCACCGGGAGCTGGCCCCTGTTCTCGACCTGGCCTCAGAAAAGGGTGCATCCAGCTGGCTGACCTGCCGCCCCCTCAGCCGCCATGGTTTCACACTCAGCAAGGGAGATTTCCGGGATGGCCTGTGCCTCCGGTACGGCTGGACACCTCCTCGGCTCCCAAGCCTCTGCGTGTGCAGTAAGCCACTGAATGTGAGTCATGCCCTGTCGTGCCCGTTTGGTGGCTTCCCGACGCTGCGACACAACGAGGTGAGGGACATCACCGCCAGAGCTCTGAGGCAGGTCGCTCACAACGTGACAGTGGAACCCCACCTCCAGCCCGTCACCGGAGAGGCCTTCCGCCATCGCACAGCTGTCACGGAGGAGCAAGCTCGGCTGGACGTTGCGGCTAGTGGTGTGTGGGGTGGCCGATTCGAGCGCATCTTTATTGATGTACGGGTGTTCAACCCTTTTGCGTCTTCGAATCGTGCCACCTCCCTCGCTGCTAGCTACAGACGCCATGAACAGGAAAAGCGCCGGAAGTACGAGGAGCGAGTACGTGAAGTTGAGCATGCCTCCTTCGTGCCCGTTGTGCTCTCTGCCTCTGGTGGCTATGGCAAGCATGCCAATGCTCTTTTCACGCGGATCACCTCTCTCCTGGCTGAGAAGAGTAAGGAGCCATACGGGCAGGTTATCTCCTTGCTGCGCTGCCGCCTTGGGTTTGCCCTGGTGCGTTGTGGTGCTATGTGCCTGCGTGGCTCAAGGAGCATGTTTGCTCCTGCCATGCCTGAGTCCCCTGCTGTGCTAGTGGCGGCGGAGGCACGCATCCAGTGAACCTGCACAGTGCAGTGATCCTACTGAGTGACAGACTCTGTAAATACTGTATAATGATTCGTTTTTATATATGTGTTGATTCTTCACAAAATGTGTTATTTTGCCCGTACAAGAGGCTCAGCGCGGTGGGAACGCGACGCAAAAAAAAAAATTTCGCGCGAACGGATTCACGTGACCATACAGGACTGTAGAAGTGGACTTTTGGCGGCATATCAGTATTTGACCCGGGTCAACTGACTTCATGTAAACGCTCACCTCTTTTGTCTATCGTACAGACTTTCAACCCGGGCTGAACTCGACCCGGGTTGAAATTTCTCATGTAAACACAGCCTAAGAATGACCCAGAGCTGGGACAGGCACACAGTTGTAAGTACGACCCAGAGCTGGGACATGCACACAGTTGTAAGGGCCGATTCCCACTACGGTACCGTGAGTGCCGTGCCGTGAGTACCCATGGTGATTTGCTCACGTGAGGGGCAGTTTTGGCGCGAGTTCATTCCGTGGCTCCTGCCGTACCGCGCCGTGGACATTCCGGTGCCGAGGGTCTCTGGGGGGTGGAAATGGCATGCCGTGGTATTCCGTGAGGTCGAATGCAGTGAGTAGTAGGTATTTTACTACTCCCTGAAAGGAAGTTTTTTCTTTCTTTTGTATTTGTGGTACGAAGTTTTTTCTTGGCTTTTGGCTTTTCGATTGGTTGATTCTTGAGCTTTCTCCAATCATCTCCCCCGCTATTTTCCCTCAGGACAAAGTCAGAAATTGAAAAAAAATGGTGATCCGGCCTGCCGACGGAATGCACGGAATGACTGTGCGCAGGTGTAAATCACTCTCAGCTTCAAGCTCGTACCGTGGGGTACACGTGACCTACCCAAATCGTCGGCACGGCACTCACGGTACCGTAGTGAGAATCGGCCCTAAGTACGACCCAGAGCTGGGACAGGCACACAGTTGTAAGTACGACCAAGAGTACATAACCTGGTTATGTACTCTTGGTACGACCAAGAGTACATAACCTGGGTTATGTACTCTTGGTACGACCCAGAGCTGGGACAGGCACACAGACCTGTGTACGTTATACCGGCGAAAAAGTGCATGCTGCACTGAGCTGTATGAGCCAGGACAGGTGCACTGCCCTGTGTACCTTATACTATGCAGACAGTCGCATCAGGTGAAACTGTGAAACAGGGTGAGACTGTTACAGTTGCCTCCCCAGACCTAGCAATTTTCAGACTGGTATTGACCCTTTGGATATAGACAGTCCACGACACTGTCCTCGATATCCAGTTATAATATTCCCACCATTGGACAGCATGTGGCATTGTCTGCACACAGCTATATTCCAGAGTCTTGAGCACTGCGTGGGGCTGTGAGCAGCTAACATTGAGCCAGAAAGGCGAGCTTGTGTGGTCTCTGATTGAACTGCTTTTCTCCCTTTGTTGCTGCTTTTACTTTCATCTATGTTTTTTTTTTCTTTCTCTGTGTGTTTTGGTGAATGTCAATCACGTGCCATGTTGCTGGATAGTGTATTCGCGTTGCCCAAATAATGTCAATGTACCGAATGGGATTGTTAATGTGTTCAATAATGACACTGGAGGAGAGGCAGATGTAACCTGTAATACAGGATATCGCCCATCAAATAATGCTACACTGAAATGCCAGAAACACAATGCTACACACAATGCATGGATTATTCCACTAACCTGCAAATGTGAGTGACCCAACCTTTGGTTTTTAATGCTATTGGAGAAGTACTTTTATGGACCTCACATATCTAGTGTAGAGCTCTTTAATGGCAAGTAATCTAAGACATTTGAGAGTTGCACTGTTCATACTCCTCCTTGGAGTAAATATTGGCATGAGCCAAGCACAAAGAGCAACCTTCTCCCAAAAACCTGAAAACGGTCGTTGTTTGATCCGTGTAGCTAGTCAAAATATTGAATTGCTGTTTGGAGCAGAAACGTTGAAAATGACTATGAGCCGAAAGTACTCATGTACTCAGGCATCAAGCGCCGCTCTCATTTTATCTGCTCTGGCGGGCCGAGTGAATGCAGTTCCACGCGTCTTCATGTACACTGCCTTCGCTCGTGGAGGAGGCGAAAAGGAATACAGGAAAGTCTTCTTTCCAGTTTGGGAGTGGGCAGCCTACCTGTTATGAACCCTCTAAGATTCTCTAAATTGTCAGGATCGTACGACCACACGGCACGAGGACAACTCTTTTCCTTTACACAGTATATTTCACTTCATCGAATAATTAACAATGAGCACTAATAACACCAGCTATTTATAGCATGCAAAAACAGCGTACATGCAAAAACATACGCATATAAAACTGGACATAACAGCGTATACAGCAAAACACACGCAGCGCATATAGCGTATGCCATGCAGCAACATCAGCGGTACGGCGGAGTCGAAAGACAATATTGCGACGAATACAATGCCATAAGCGCGAAGGCCTTTCCCAATTGAGAACTGGCGGTTTGCAACATTCTCCCCACCAAAAGGCTTCTCACCGCCGTACAACAATGCACACAAGTCAAAAACGATCCGGGGCTCTGACTATGCGCCCAAATCGTGTCATCTCCTGCTTCCGTGGTGGTGGTAACGGTGCTGACGGTTCATACGCTGGCTGCTGAGGGACGATAGCAGGTTGAGCGGTATCTGCAAGCCCAGGAGCCACGTCCTGTGACGATACTTCTAACGGCACTAACCTTTGGATTGGCCTCAACAGGGTACTGGTACTCAACTTAACCTTGGCAACACGACGCTTACCATCTCGACCAGGGAATAACCCGATGATCCGTCCCAAACGCCAGAACTGTTTGCGCTTGGTATCATCGAGAACCAAGACAACATCACCCACAGCTAAAGGGCGCGACGTGGTCTGTTGGTGTTTGTTCAGCTGACTTAGGTACTCCACCTCCCAACGATTCTTGACATGCTCCCGTGTCCGACTGAGGTAACGCAATCTCGATGACATCTGCGCAGCGTCCAGGGTACCTGCTGGCTTCTCTGACGACATCCAGATGTCACCCATCATCATTGCAGGGGTTACTGGTGGCTCATCCAGGCTATCAGACACATAAGTTAGCGGACGACTATTCACCACTGCTTCAACCTCATACAAGAGGGTCTCAAGCTCCTGGACCTTCAGAAACGCTGTTCCCATTACCTTTTTCAAGGCACTCTTCACTGTACCAACCATTCTCTCATAGAAGCTTCCATGCCATGGTGCAGCTGGAGGATTGAACATCCATGGCACACTCAGTTTGTCAGATGCCGCCTTGAACGTTGTAGCGTTGTCAGACCTGATCCGAGACGGCAAACTACGTCTCGCGACAAACTTCCGAAATGCTATCAAGAATGACTCAGTACTTAAACTATCGACCACCTCCAAGTGAACTGCTCTGGTGGTGGCACACACAAACAATGCTATCCATACCTTCGGAGATGACTCACCACGGCGCACGTACAACGGACCAGGATAGTCGATGCCGGTAGTTGCGAACGGCCTCTCGTGAACAACTCGGTCTTCCGGCAGCGGCGGGCAGACTTCTGAGGCAGCCTTAGCCTTGTAGCGGCGGCATGTAACACATCGCTGAGTAATGTTGCGTAGCGCCCGTCGACCACCGATAATCCAGAATTTCTGACGGATGAACGACAAGACTCCTTCTACACCTTGGTGCATCCTTTCAACATGCATTTTCTCCAACAGCAACTCGGTCAGATGATGTTTGCCTAACAGGACTGGGTGCTTGGCTCCATACGCCAACTCGCTGTGCTGAAGTCGTCCCCCGGCTCTGAGCACTCTATGCTCATCCAGAAACGGTGCAAGCTGATACACCTTCGACCCAGGCTTCACTGGTTGACCTTGCTTGATCAGCTCAAGATCCTCAGCGAAACATGCGGCTTGAACGATGCGGTACAATACGTTGTCTGCTACAAAATAGAGTTCAGCACGAGGCTCAGTGTGCTTCCACTGCAACATCCGAGTCACCATGCCCTGTACCCTCGACCATTAACTGAATCGGAGCCACCATTCCTTATCAGATTCTCGACTACAGGTGGTGGCTGACACTCGTACTTCTACACTGGACTCATCTGTAGCTGCGGTTGAGGATGCGATGGGCCAGTCATTGGGCTCCGTGATCCAGGTTGGTCCGCCCCTCCAGAATGGACTACGGATCTGCTTTGCACTACTCCCACGCGACGGTAAATCTGCTGGGTTGTGAAGGCCCGGGCAATGGTTCCACACAATGCCGACCTTCTTCGATATCTCTTGGACTTGACTGACGCGGTTAGCCACAAATGTTTTCCATTTGTACGATGGATTACTGATCCAATGAACGGTAGTGAGACTGTCAGTCCAGCCATAGACTTGCGTGACAGTCACACGCAGCTCCTTCACCACAAACTCAGCGTAGCGAGCCGCTAGACATACTGCTTGTAACTCAAGGCGGGCTAACGTGGGTGGAGACACGGGTACCACTTTGGCCTTGACAAATACCAAGTACGACTGTCCATTGACGACTGCATACAAACAACATCCAAACGCTTTCTCACTGGCATCGGCGAAGGCATGAAGCGCAATCGGCGTGTCAAGATTGCAGCAAATCCAACGTGGTATGTCAATGCTCACCACTTCGGCCAACTCTCCCCACCATTGCGCGTATGCGGCTGCGATGCCATCAGGCAACTTATCATCCCAGTCGCCTCCGACTTTCCAGGCTTGCTGTAGCAGTATCTTTCCCGGCACAACTGCTGGTGCTGCTAGACCTAGCGGATCAAACACTGACGCAGCACACTTGAGGAGGGATCACCGGGTCCAAACAGACGGCCTATCGGACTCGCCTAGCGCTGCTATGCTGAGCAAGTCATCACTGGTTTTCCATTTCAGACCGAGAACTTTATCTCCGGCCTCTGGATCGCACGGGATTTTGTTGCCTCGCCACTTGCGTAACTCCATGCCAGCATCCGTAAGCACACGCACGCTGAACTCTTGCATCTCCTTAGCTTCCGAGGCATTTGAGACACTAGAGACCAAATCGTCAACGTAGAAACTCGTGAGCAAGAGATCAATACGATCTCGCTCTTTGGGTGCAGACAACGCCCGTAGCTCCTTCAAGTGATGCTGAATCACCGCAGTAAGCATGTATGGCGAGCAGTTTACGCCAAATGGCAGTTTCGTTAGCCTCCAGGTTAACAGTTCATCGCTGTCGCTTCGACCGGGCCACAAGAAACGCAGGTACGGACGGTCTTCGGGATTAACCGCAACCATGAAGAAAGCCTTGCGGATGTCCGCTTGCAGCACGCTCTTATATTCACGGAACCGTAATAGCATACCTGCGAGACTCGGCAATAGCGACGGTCCAGGGTCAACCATGTCGTTCAACGACTTGCCATCTGGCGCCGTCGCCGAGGCATTGAACACCACTCTTAACTTCGTGGTTGCAGCGTGCTCGCGGAATACACCATGATGCGGTACATAGTACCCGGCATCGCTCTCACATGGCTCTAGCTCAATTGCTCCAAGCTCGCGGTACTCCCTGATCAGCACATCATCATAGAGCGCACGCTTCCCATTCCTCTTCAGCTTTTCAAGAAGCCGCGTTGCGATGACTCTAGCTTGAGCATAGTTATCCGTTGGGCGACGCTCATTTCGCCACAAGAGACCCACTTGGTACCCGCTGCCCTGGCAACATAGCGGGAAAGCTAGCAGGTGCTGATGTTGTTCTGGAGGTTCATCCAACTGCCATAGTTTGTCGATGTGGGCTGTGACACATGACATGGTCACCGGCTGACTGTTACGACTTGGTGCAGACGCTGGACCAGATAATACATTACCTATCTCTGTGTTCCACACCGTCTCACCATTAACTTCCTTCTTGCTGTGCAGTACCGCGTTGATATAGTCTGCACCAATCAGCATATGTATTTCGTCAGATGTTCCTTGTTGAGGCTTGTCACTCAGCTCTACTCCCCAACTGTGCCACTGCGCAATGGTCTGCGGACTTGCGCCCTTCAGGTCCAGCTCTAGCGTTGGTTTCACGAACGCGCGTACCCGAATGCTAGCGGAGCTACCCTGGATCGTGATGGCGTACTTATCCATGCGCTGTTGGGTTGGTTCCGCGCCGAACGGCTTCACCTCTACATTTTCAACCCCAACGTGTTCTGCATCGATTGCTGACACCAAAGCTGCAGTCACGAATGACGCCTCAGCACCCGAGTCCAGGAACACGCGAACCTTCGCGTTTCGAGTTCTTCCCTCAACTCGTGCCACTCCGGTCATCAGCCACACACTTGGCGAGTGTAGACAGCACAATCCAACATTCTTCTCCGTTACTATCTCAGTCGGTTTCTCCCGGTTGTAACCTGCTCTATCCAACACATCATGTATTAGCAGGTGGTGTTTTCTCTGGCATTTCGGGCATCTCGCGCCTGACCGACATTCTCTGGCCATATGGCCATACTAAAGGCAGTTTCAGCAGAGTCTCTCTCGCTGCAGAAAACCCTTTCTCCCTTCCTGTGGCAGCGACTATAGCTGCTTCTCTGCATCTGCAAACGATATCGCCATGCACTGTGCCGACGCCGTGGGCCTTGGCACGGATCGTTCTACTGGCTTCCTGGCAGTATCACCCTGTCGTCCGTGTGCAACCTGGTAAGACGCGCCGTGCTCCTGTACCTGGCGCAGAGACATCCCGTAGCACTGCCGTTCGACCAGGTACGTCTTCATCTCAGGTCCGCAGTGCTCCAAGATTACCTGCTTTGCCATTGCTTGCAGCACCGGGGCCATTTTACCTATATCGGCGCTATACTTGGTGTCCACCTCGCCATCTTCTGTCATAGCGAGTGTGGCCCACACCTCTACCTCTCGGCAAACACGGACAACGTATTGATGAAACGACTCATCTGACCGCTGCTTGCCTGTCAGCAATGTCTTCCACGCTTTATCCGGAGTCTTTCCGAGCGAGGCAAGCAACTCTCGCTTTGCTTCCTCGTAATTGTTGCACCCAATATATATCCTCTCCGCTTTGCTACCCGCTAGCGCGATGCGCAGTGGCAGCAGCCATTCCCTTTCTTCGAACTCGTTCTTGGAACAGATGTCCTCGAACAGGTCAAGATAACGCTCCAATGGCTGCGTTCCATCATATGAGGGGATTTTCATCAACGGTTGACGCCCCCGCTGTGACAGGAAGCCTCCTCTGTACCTCCCATCGCGGCTTTACCATCACCCTCATACGCATTGGCGATGCGCTCGTTAATCTCCTTTAGTGTTTTGTCAAACTCGGTGCGGAGCGCCTCCTCTCGCCGTCTGGCACTGCGCTCCTCACGCTCCTCATACTGTTGGAGCCTCTGCTCCACATGTTCCATCAACAACTCGCCTTCTAATCCTAACCGAACTCCATTGGCAATAAAGCTGGCTTCCAAATTGTGTAGTTGCTCTGCAATGCTCGCTCCTATCCTGGCGTGGTCGCCAAATGTTATGAACCCTCTAAGATTCTCTAAATTGTCAGGATCGTACGACCACACGGCACGAGGACAACTCTTTTCCTTTACACAGTATATTTCACTTCATCGAATAATTAACAATGAACACTAATAACACCAGCTATTTATAGCATGCAAAAACAGCGTACATGCAAAAACATATGCATATAAAACTGGACATAACAGCGTATACAGCAAAACACACACAGCGCATATAGCGTATGCCATGCAGCAACATCAGCGGTACGGCGGAGTAGAAAGACAACATTGTGACGAATACAATGCCATAAGCGGGAAGGCCTTTCCCAATTGAGAACTGGTGGTTTGCAACACTACCTAGGTGCGGTGAAAAAGTAGTAGAGAGCAACCAAGGTACGTGGTTTGCTGATCTTTGTGCGCTCATTGTACACTTTGAATAATTACAATAATAAAATTCATGTTCCAGCAGCACTGTGCGTTTCGTTATCACCTTTAGAACTTTCGGCAACTTCGACTTCTTTGGGTATGCCACATTTTTCTATGTACTTCGAAGTAGAAAGTGCGGAATTGCGCCACTTTACCCTATAAATATACTCATTCCTTTATATGCTATTCATTCGTTATCTACCTCCACTGAAATGCTCTTAATGAGCGAAAAAGATGTCTGGAAAATAGGGAACATCTACCCAAAAACTAACTTCCTCGCTACAGAAAATAGAACCAAGGAACTACAAGTTATGCTATAATGTCCACTAACATCACCAGTTACTAAACAATCAGCCCATTATTGAACATTATAGCGTAACTTGAAGTTCCTTGGTCCATTTTCATTCCGGTAAATTTATCCTTGGCTCTTCACCTGAGTCCATTATAATTATTGGTTTGGTCTCGCAATCACTATTCAATGTAAATTCACTGACAGACCATGGAGGAAAAATGTTTAAGGAAAAACGAAAAATAGCCTTGTTTCGGGTCGTCCGGCAGGGTCATTTTTCGCAACTACTGAAACTTATATTTGGTCCGCCTATGCATACGGTAGATGCCAGGGAGTCGTTAATTACCAGCATTTTACGACTCCCTACTAGGTGCATGCATACGCCTACAGGTAAGTTAACAACTGTGACTTGATATACATTGTCCAAACCATGATATGATGTGTGTACAATCATTATTAAAGGGGAAGTCCGGTGAAAAATTTAAATTTCAGGGTCGGTAGAGTTTCGGGCGCTGAGTCGAATGGTGTTGGTCCCACGTGTCTCCGACAAAGCGTTCTCGAGATATTTCCGTTTGAAAAACTGAGTTTCGGGGGCTGCGCCATGACGTCATGCGGCCGCGCCACACCCTCTGCAACGTCATAGCGTGCAGCTAGGTCAAAAGGAGTGCGTGAAAGCAATAGTGTCAGCACTATTTCAAATGATTTGGCGACTGATATTAGGTCGTGCAAGCGACCCCAAAGACCTGTAACTCCTTGTGAGAGTGAGGATGCAGCCATGGCTGACCTTCATGAGTTCGGTCTGGGGCTGAGAACCTCGGTATTCAGCTGAAGAAATGGCCGCGCGGGCCCGTCAAGAGTCAGCGCTACTGAGTTTCCGACTGATGAAGAAAAGCAGCAGACGAGGCTGATGTAATTTAACTAATTATCAGATCGCTGGAGAGCAGGGTCGCCAAAATGGAGAAGAGTGATGCGAGTGCTCTAAATGTTGTTCCATACCGATTAGATTCGCTTAGACTCCAGTAGCCTGCCACATGGTGATGTTTTGGTGCGAACTAATTACTTGGAATATTTCGGACTACTCAATTGGAGAACAGTGCAGGCTCTTTGAACCACGGGCACGACTCTTCGCTCGCAGCGCTATGGAATCTGAAAGTTCTAGGTCCGGGAGCTGTTCCCTGTTTTGTCACTTGTCACGGTTGTGCACTCATCGCTGTAGCATAAAATAATGAGGCGGGAGCGGAAAACTAAAATTTTCTTTCTCAAAGCACAATCACCGGCACCGGCAAGGAGAAACGCACGTTCCCTGACTACATGATCATGACTGTACAATACGACTGATACGAGTGTACAAAGTAGTATATGACGAGTCCGTGTGTTGACTAGTTTTCTGAGTCTTGTGTCAGTTGTGACTCCAGTCTTGTGTATATACTACCCCAGCACGGCAGTGCGGGAGTAGTTCCGGCGTCTGTGATGAGTTTGTTGACTGCACCACAGCTAGATAACACACTGCACGCACTGCATGCACGCAGCGCACAGCGCGTAGAGGCTGACGGAAAAAGTCCAACTCGGAAACGGCTAAAATACGGTATAACCTCGAGGTGTACCGAGCTGAAAATCACAGGGTACGTAGTGTTTGTAACACTGAATCGAATGGTCTTGGTCCGAAGAAGCTGCGACAAACAGTTCCCCAATCGAACGCGCTCCGAATATGGCCATTTTTGTACACAACTAGATGGTGTGGCTACCTGGCTGCACGCTGTGACGTCATCACCTGGATCTGGGTGATGCGCGCTCAAATTCGCACATGTTCGATTGGGCGTATCTGACAAACCATAAGCCGCAGCCTCCTCGGACAAAGACCATTCGACTCAGCAACCCAAACTCTACCGACTGTGAAATTTAAATTTTTCACCGGACTTCCCCTTTAATTTTCACCATGTGTTTGCGGATGTCAATGACTTGCCAATACTCTCTAGCTCAACCTATCTCTTGCCCGAAAATAATACCAATAAGCAATGGAAGCTACCTGATTTTCGGAGAAACATACGCTGGATCTGTGGCAACCATTGCATGCAACCAAGGTTATCGTCCACCTAATAATTCCACAACCACATGCCAGCCACGCAATGAGACACACGGTGTGTGGAATAATGTACTTAACTGCAATTGTAAGTGAACCAGGTTGTTTAAAATTTGTATAGCTACTGTAGAGATATTTTTCTTCACACATCCCATTTCCAGCCCCCTCCCTCAACCTGACAACTTGCCATCAAGTCTTGAGTTTACCCATTGTATAGTGACGGTTCAGAACATCTCTCTCAAGAATTCTTGAAATTTCCAATCCTAAGACGCGATTTACAAGACGGCAGAAATCATATCGGGGGGCCACTGGGGGCACTGGGGGCCCACCATGCTGGGGGCCCACTTTCACGATAATCGTGGCGTCTACGAGTACATTTACGCCAAAAAGCGCGAAACAAGACTTGATTTTTTACGCGGCTCTTTTCACCATGATATTTTATTGTATGCATGTCTTGAAACTTTGAAAAACTCATGGCAACTGGTAGGTGAATCATTCAAAAATGAAAACGTGCCTGTTGTTTGACGGTGCAGCCATGTGAATCCACACAGTCACTTTTCTGGTGAATCACTCCCTGTAAAACGTGCAAGTGCCTGTCGTGTGAATAGGCCATTGCTGATAACCCAGCTAGGTGCATGTCTCTGGTGTGAATGCAGTAAGCCCATGCTTATCATCGTCAGCGATAAAATCTTCCATCTAGCATTGACTATAGACACTCATTGTCTACGTGTTCCAACTGCTCTCATTGACGTGCAGTGCCATCTTTGCAGTAGTGCTGTAAACACCTCTTTTGTTGTATCAATCGCCTTTCAGACCCTCATTTGACCCCGAGCTCTTTTGCTACATAGTTATCTGTTGACTATCATTCGCTCCTTTCCAACTGGACGGTTTCGCCCATTTGGTTTGCGAATTTTAATATAGAAAGACGGGAACAAGCCGGCAACTTGCAGGCAAGTATTGACCCTAGGGACCCTTTATATTCTCTCTCTCTCCCTCTTTCTCTCTCTCTCTCTCTCTCTCTCTCTCTCCGAGTCTCTGTACCACACCTGTAACACCAGGCAACTCGCCATCTCATTATTTTCTGTTTCCTTGCTCCACACCGTAATACTGGCTCATTTCCTTTTTTCTGCTCTACTTACTTTTTTTGTATTTGGTGCTTGATCCTGCCGTTATTCCCAAGACCCATGGCAGGGGGGGGGGGGGTAGGCCCAATTCATCAGCACAATGCTCCGGCTTCCCGCTGTATTTTTATGTCTCCTCTTTGCTTTTGTCTTCCCATTCCGTTCTCTGCTGGACTGTGTGTTTCAGTACGAAAACATGTTTAAAAAATACACGTATGTTGACGGTCCACTGCACTTTCAGCAAGATCCTGTGAAAACTACATTCATTCGCAATCACAGGAGACTGCAGACTGCTGGCAAGAGTGCTCAATGCACAACCTGAAGAGATTCAGTACGAACGAAAATCCAGTTCCAATGTTCAACACAAAAATCGCGAATCAGCCACGCCCTCCCTATTAGTTTACGCAGTGCATGGGCATTGCATGTGTGCCAGAGGCTAAATTTCAATCCCTGTGCTGAATGAGACCATGTTATCCTGCAACTCAGTCTCCTTAGGTTTTCTTTTTAAGTGCATCTTAAAAACTACTTCGAAAGAAAAGGTGTCAGCACCGACGCAATCCACACAGTCAAGTAAGCCAATTTGGTAACCCAACGTTTTCGTTCCCTTCTCATCATGGGTAAATACAGGGAATAATGGAAAAATGTCACAATACAGCAAGTTATAGAGCTAGAGCAAAAGCAAAGATCGAGAACCTCACGCTATACGTGTGGAAAAAAATATATAATTCACCAGAACAGGTCAAAAACAAGGTGAAGGTAAAGAAATGACTAAAACATAATGAAAACATCAGTTAGGAGAAACATTCCTGACACTTTCATGAGGATTAGTGCCAAACTACTGAAGTGACAAAAATATTCCCTTCTGAACACATAGTTCAGTGGACACCTTATGGATATAAGACGCTTCCAAAACAGACAAATGTAATACAGATCTACCAAGGGCCAAAACGGAGAAAACATCATCTGCCGTTAGTTGTTCTATAAATTGCTGTATTTTGACATTTTTCCATCATTCCCTGTACTTACCCATGATGAGAAGGGAACGAAAACGTCCAGTTACCAAATTGGCGTACTTGACTGTGTGATTTGCGTTGGTGCTGACCCCTTTTCTTTCGAAATTGGACACGCCTCCAATTTTTTCCTTGAAACTACTAGTTGAGATAATATTTACGTTTATTTTGCTTTATTTTTCCCTGTTCCAATGGGAATCATAGTGGTTGTTTGAACAATCTGTCCGTGGTGTATTTTGTAGTAGCGCTTTAACAGAGAATTGTGCCTGCAGTGTACTTTCTGTGTGGTGGGAAAGAATTTAGTCAGTATTGCTAAACTTCGATAGTGTTCTCTGTTGAGCTGCTTGTCTCCCTGTTTTGCTTTCATTCATGCATCTTTCTCAATCTGTCTTGGTGGATGTCAATCACGTGCAATGTTGCTGGATAGTGTATTCGCGTTGCCCAAATAATGTCAATGTACCGAATGGGATTGTTAATGTGTTCAATAATGACACTGGAGGAGAGGCAGATGTAACCTGTAATACAGGATATCGCCCATCAAATAATGCTACACTGAAATGCCAGAAACACAATGCTACACACAATGCATGGACCAATCTACTCAGCTGCGACCGTAAGTAAAGTAATTTACTTTTTGTAAGAGAGAAAGTAGGTTCATTCCATCCTGTACCTCACATATCCAGTCCCTGACTTAACCGGGCAACGTCCATACAGGTATCAGCAATTTGTTTTTGAGATCACCGGGAATTATGCTTTCTCACCAGGGGAAAAACCTCCGCTGCCTACTAAAAACGAATAAAATAATTATCTTTGTATCTTGAGCAAGTAAACAACACTGTCTTCAAAATTTCTCAGAAATATTTTAAAATTGGCTACACCGAGCAGACCATTGGGCTGCTGCTGAACCTTGCCCAAATGCCAAAACAGTATGATCACAACGTATATTGACGTGCTATCATCATCATCAAAACAGGAAAAACGAGGATATTTCCCCTAAACCGTAACAAAAATTCGGCTTCATGCCATTAGAGTTCATAGTACTGAAATATAGAGAATTGTGTGTTGCTCCCTACATGGGAGCGCGCGCTTTTCCTGCCAACTTGAATTCTCACTTGACCGACTCACAACTGCCATCCAGACAGAGCACACAAGAAGTCCATCGGACCTTCCACCCGGCAAACCTGCAAGAAAGCACCACTCCCTGCTCCATACACAGTGTTTCTGTGAATTCACCCCTCATCAGTTAAACTTGAGTAGGCTGAGGAAGATTGTGCCTGAAGCGCACCAGTTATAGAGTGCTCTCCAGGCACAAACATCACAAGGGGTACAAACTTATAGTCGCTCTGCTTTCAGCGCGACATTCAAAGTCGCGCCAACCTTTTCTTCACATTGTTGTCCCCAACTCGGGCTTGCGAATTAGATGGTTTGGAGGCAACACCGTTGTGAATGGCCAACGGTCCTCAGCGCTTGTTCAGCACCTGCATGAGGGACACTGACTCACACTGCTATCGGGTGATCATGAGGAAATGGAGCGTCTCTGTAAGTTTGTATCCCTGGTGATGTTTGTCCGTGGAGAGCACTGTATAAGCGGCGCTCTGCGGACATGGATGCAGTGAATGGGATTTTCGGTGTTTGACCACATGCTGGTGAGCTGATCTACTCACATCCCACCGCTTTAGGAGCTGCATCTGTGCCTCGATCCTTACGGATGCGGAAAACCCGGCCTCTATATAGAGAAATCCGTAACAATGCGAACCGTGGATATTTTTCGGGCACAATCTTCCTCAGCCTACTCAAGCTCAACTGATGAGGGGTGAATTCCCCGAAACACTGTGTATTAATTAAGCAGGGAGTGGTGCTTTCTTGAAGGTTTGCCGAGCGGACAGTTCGATGGATGTCTCATGTACTCTGTCTGGATGGCAGTCGGGAGTCGGTCAAGTGAGAATTCAAGTCGGCAGGAAAAGGGCGAGCTCCCATGTAGGGAGCAACACACGGTTCCCCAAGTATCGCCGAAGTCGCACCAACCTGTTCTTCACATTGAAATATAGAGACTAAAAGATTTGGTGAAACTGCGTTCTCATAGCAATCTCCATGGAAACTATACTACAACACAGCGGAGTCATCATTTGAGGGAAATAATGACGATGAAAATGACAGTAGGCATGGGCGGGTAATGCTAGCATTATGGCTGGCATTATAGTCCCTTTTTTCCAGGTGGCATTATGCTGGCATTATAACACTATTTCGCATGCAAAATTGGCATTACAAGCATAATTGCCGGTCGACAACGGTGTCATGCATGAAGCTGGCTAGGTCCAGTTCCGAAAATCGTGCATCTGAACCCGTCCGGCTTCATCCGGAGACTTGACGTTGCAAATCAACCTTCTCAGTGGATTGTTTCAGACAACCTGCTCACTGTTGTTTAAGTTTTTTTCTCCTACGCTTTGGCTTTGATCCAAGACGGCCTTCTTAAATCGACTTTCCCAACTTTCAAACTGGCATTATGGAGTAGTGTGAGCATTTTAAGTAGCATTATATCCTCATATTATGAGCATTGCCTTTAGCATTATTGCAGCAAATAACTAGCATTACCCGCCCATGCCTAAACGACAGTCACTTCATATTGATAGTAATGTTACACGTTCCGATTCAACCAATTAGTACAAGTGTCTCTGGGGCAGACTGAACCATTTGAACCGACCCCAATCCTTGGGGAGTAGTGCATATTGACTGTGTGAATGTACTGGTTTCAGCTACATTTAGTGTGGACTGCTAGACTACAGCAGTGCTAGCTGGTGTGATCCTGGTCACAGATGGCTGAGCCACAGTGGTGGTATGCTCTGCTCCGCTTATCACAGACTGTTCAGACACAGGGGTTGTGCATGCTGCTCTGGCTGCCGCATGATCACCATCTAAGATCGCTGACATCTGTTGCTGCTGTTGGTCAGTTGATTCAGCGTAACTCTTCAGGCTCATGGGGTTCCTTTGCCCTGTCACAGCCATAATGTGCCGCACTGGTGTGCCAGACGCGGACAGGTGGTGCACTGCAGTGGCAAGGGCGCTGTGGTTGGGTACACCTACGAATGTTCACATCGCTTAGAAATGGCTTGCATCATTATGGTGTTCTTGTCAATGGGAGCACGGTCGTACCATACTTTTGCGCCCTTGGCCAGGTTGCGTTTCGAATGCTGAAATAACGCGTCGAGGTCAGGGTTCAAACGCTCCAGCAGGAACTAATGAAGAAGACCTGGTCAGGGTCTTGAATTCAGCCTTAAGCGGCGGGATCGAACCGGTCCCCAATGCCCCCAGGGTGATCCTTGGTGGCAAGATCAACCGCAACTTTGAAGAACTCTTTTCCGTTTTCGTTCTTGCACAGCTGGAGGTCAGTCTTTTTTAGGGAGCTTTGCATTTCTCGACCTGGCAGACGGAAGTGGTAGGTCACATAAAACCAGACCTTCATATTCAGGGCATCTAGCTCCATGCTCCTCATGAACACGTCCTTCATCTTTGCGAGATCGTTGTCAGTTATGATAACCTTGTGTTCCACAGGTCGCAGCTCGCCTGCGGATTTTCATTCTTTCAGCATGCCGTCCAGGGCGTTGTTGCTTCGCTGGAACTTGGCAACCTTGATGATGTGCCACTGGCAACTTCCAGGAATAACTGTCGGACGGCAGCCCTCAAGCAGAGCAAGCTCGCCCGCTGGTAGAATAGCCCATACTGCCGCCTAGAGCCAACATACAGTTTTGCTAGGAGGGTGCAAAGCTCGTGCTTGCTGCACTTGTCGAAATATATCGACGTCTCCTTGTTCTTATTGAAAATTTTGAGAACGGTCTGCCATCCGGGTGTGGCTTTTCCTGTTGCCTCGGGAACACTGCCATTAATTACCTCTGCAACATATTCGTCTGACATGGACACAAAAAACTTTGGAGCCATTGCTCTTGCACTGGCTCGATCACGCTTGTCAAACTACACACAAACACAACAAAAACGCTAGTAAGCATTCACCACACTTTTTCTTCCCCAAGACAAACCCAAAACCTGCACAGCACGTACATACCTACAAAAGCTACTTCTACTCCAGTACGCTGTCAAAAGATTGCACAAACCTCCGTGGGGATAGCGTGTGTGCCAGCATGCATGCACGCACGCACGCGCACTTGCTCGGGAAATAAACGTTTTTTTCCATTGTGATGTGAAGTGGGGATTGTATGAGGAGCGGAGAGCGGAGATATAACAGTCCCACCCTGGTACCCTCCCAATAGGATCTATAATGCGCTGAAAAAAGGGTGAAGAAGAAGCTAGAGTTCCCGCGTTTGAGCTGATGGATCACGTGTGGGGCAGTTTTCTTTTACCAAAATTTTGATTTTTGAATTTTAGTAAAACTGCGTTTTGAAAATGCTATCTCGAGCAAAGGAAAACCGGATTTCGGGCTGATGAGCTGATGGATCACGTATGGGGCAGTTTTCAAAATTTGATTTTTGAATTTTAGTAAAACTGGGTTTTGAAAATGCAAAGGAATAATGTATTGCGCTTCGGGGAAGGAGTTCGGGCAACAATCCCTGGCCATGTGATAAAGACAGCTATGAATCGGTTTGTGGAAGACAACTAAAAAAGAGACAAATAAATAACAGGACACATAACGGTAATCTAGTCACGTGGAGACATAAAAGCCCAGTGTCGATAGCATGGATACGACACTTTCGAACTCATTTTTGACAAACATCTTTTCCTATGATCTCACCCACAGCTATCCCAACAGCAGCTCCATCGACTAGCTACCCAACAACCACTGCTCCAACATTGAGCCGCATGACTGCTCAACGCACCACTCCAACAGTGAGCCACGTGACTGCTCCACCCAGCACTCCTCCAACAGGCACAACTCCAACAGTGAGCCGCGTGACTGCTCCGCGGAGCACTGCTTCAAGAGGCACAACCTCAACAGTGAGCCTCGTGACTGCTCCACGAAGCACTGCTTCAACAGGCACAACTCCAACAGTGAACCGCGTGACTGCTCCACGGAGCACTGCTCCAACAGGCACAACTTCAATAGTGAGCCGTGTGACTGCTCCACGGAGCAGTGTTCCAACAACAAGCACTAATTCAAGAGGCACAACCTCAACAGTGAGCCTCGTGACTGCTCCACGAAGCACTGCTTCAACAGGCACAACTCCAGCAGTGAGCCGTGTGACTGCTCCACGGAGTACTGCTCCAACAGGCACTGGTAACATAGTTGCTGCTCACACGGCGCATGCTCCAGCAACTACAGTCGCAGCAAGTGCCTCCAAGGCAGTCTCCAGGAATACAATTTCACTTGCCTCCAGCCCAGTGAACAGTTTGGCAAGCACTGCAACAACAAGGCCTCCAATACCTGACAGTAATGAATCCATGAAAGCCTCACCGAATTCCACACAGGTACTGTCTGCCATGACTACTGCAGAAATGTCAACCAGCTCAACCATCACAGAACACCACAGCAATTATAAAATGGACACTCCAGCACCTGAGAGTTCAACTTCAGCTGCACCTACAACAGACGTGGAAGGTAAGAACCAGCAACCCAACTATGGGCTGATCATTTCTATAGGCATGTGCTGCGCACTAGTTGGACTGGGCTGTTCAAGAAATCCCTATCCCCTCCCCCCCCCCCCCCCCTTACACCCACCGTGGGGAAGGTGACGACTACACCAGTAGGGGTAGAGATCAGACCAACAGACAGACCAACAGAGACTTTCTCTCAAGTAATCCCTTGGAAAGTTATGTGTTTCTGCATGCTACACAGTTCAATACAAAGTAATACTGCTCCTACACTGATGCATATGTCGGCAATCTTGCTTATAAGCTGTTTTCCTAGTCCATATTACGGCAATTCTACTCTCAAATGTTCAATGTTGTTTGTGTATGTACGGGGAGAGGGGGGGGGGGGGTGAAGGTGTGCGAAGTGGATGGGTGAGGATGTGTGTGTGTGTGTGTGTGTGTGTGTGTGTGTGTGCTTGCACATGTGTGTGTGTGTGTGCACGTGTGTGTGTGTACACATGTGTGTGCGTGCCCATGTGCGCGCCCGTGTGTGTGTTTGTGTGTGTGTGTGTGTGTGTGCATGCGTGCGTGCATGCGTGCGTCCGTGCGTCCGTGCGTCCGTGCGTGCGTGCGTGTGTGGGGGTCAGTCCAATACCTTCATCTTTCTCTGATTACGTTTGAATCTCCTTCCCCTCTCCCGGGGAGAACCACATAACCAGGCCATACTCAGATGTTGAGCAAAGCCGAGCTCTGAGACGTTGAGCATCAACACATTGCTCAGCGATCGTCACGGGCCTGGCACAACAGCTTCTTGTTCCTCCAACGTAAAGAAAAAAGAATGGGTGTCCGAACTCCAAATGAAGTCCAACACTCGGCTGCAGAAACTCCAGAACCGTGCTGCCCGGGCAGTGTTTGGAAAACCGCGCAGCCTTGCTCTCTCCCTCTCTCTTTCACTCTCTCTCTCTCTCTCTCATGCAAAACATTGGCTGCTTCGCAGGCTGGAGCTGTGTCAGCAGCCTCTGCATCACCACCACACGAGACTCCAATGACTTTACAGGCAAGTACACCAACCATCAATCCCGCACGAATCCACTCCCTGTCATAATGAGTCTTTACTTCATGTCCTGAATCAACGGGAAATGGACAAGGTAGAAGTCCGGCAGTCCCTACTGCTACCGTCAGCCAAAAACACCAAGGCATGGCACACAATAAACACTCAGTTGAAGAGCCACCTCACTCAACATTTCCCAACCTCATACCTCAAAAACACTAACATCGACGAGACTCTGGACAAACTAGAGAACTTCATTCACTGGTTTTTTGACCAGAAACCACCAGCACCTCCACCAAAACACAAGAATGCAAATAAAAACCGTGCTGTGGAAAAACTCCGGGCCCACAGGCGTGATTTAAAGCGCCAATTTCGTAAGATCAAAAACCCGGACGAAGTACCTGCAGCACTCAGAAATGAGTATTTTTCAATTAGAAAACAAATCAAGCGTCTTTTGAAACAACAAAAGATGTACGACGATCGATCCCGGAACAAGAGGGACCAGGATGCCTTTCTCAAGGACCCATATGCCTTCGGAAAGAAATTGTTTCAACCAACCAACCATGTCAAACCCATTTTCTCTGACACTACCTACTTTGAGTACTTCCAACATACATATGCAGACCAGGATCGTGCCACTTCGTACGAATCCTGCCCCAGTGCAGGGAAGCCCCGGGATTGCACCCACCCAGTCGATGAGGGGACAACTACATGGGCTGAATTTCAGAATGTTTTGAAGAAGTGTCTCAACACCTCTGCACCGGGTCCTGACAAGATACCTTACATAGTTTGGAAGCTTTGTCCCTCCCTTCAATCCATTCTTTTCACCATCTTTGGGCGGGGTTGGGAGAGCAAGATTATTCCAAGGCAGTGGCAGGTAGCATGTATTACACTCCTGGCCAAGGGGGCGGTGTCTGATGATCCTTCGAAATTCCGACCGATCGCTCTAGCAAACACGTCCGGGAAAATCTTTTTCACCTTAGTTGCAAAACGCCTCTTGAAACATATGCTAGGCAATAAGTTCTTCGATGGTGACAATCAAAAAGGATTTATACCTGCAAAGGCTGGGTGCTTAGAGCCTACATCACTTTGTTATGAGGCGATGCGTGATGCAAAGACGGCAAAACGCCAAACTTGCATTGCGTGGATAGATTTGAAGAATGCATTTGGTTCAGTGCGCCACAATCTGATACAGTATGCTCTAACCCACTACAGCCTTCCTTTGCAATTCAGGAAATTAATTTTTTCCTACTACGACAGTCTTTGCGCTTTCGTCGTACAACCACACACTTCCACCTTTAATTACAACATTGGTGTTTTCCAGGGGTGCCCCTTGTCCCCGGTCCTTTTGAATATTTGTTTCCAGCTTCTGCTGGACTCACTTGCAGCCCCTGAATTAAGTTGCCTCTCCTATGATTTTAAATCTGCCCCTTTGCAAGTGTCCCAAACAGCTTTTGCTGATGACTTAGGCCTCTATAGCAAATCTAGTGCAGGTTTTCAAAAACTCATTGCGGTCACGGAGGACTTTCTCTCGTGGACCCAACGTATGCAGGCGGCGCCGCACAAATGCAAAAGCAGTGCAGCAAAGCTTGTAGATGGCGGGTACAAACCTTACGATCCCTGCCTGACGATGTCAGGGAGGAAGATCGCTTTCATTGACACCGAAGAGTTCAAGTTCCTGGGGCGAAGGCTGCATGCTGATTGCTCTGAGCAGACCTAGCGGGAAGACATCCGTCAACTCACTGTATCTCTCATGCAAAACGTAGATGGCTCTTGGCTTCAAGACCACCACAAGCTATGGCTTTACCACCATCTTGTAGTGCCCAAGCTTTTTTGGTCTTTCCAGGTTCTTGAACTCACACAAGGTGTTGTACGTGAACTGCGCTTTATGTGTTTACCATTTCTGAAGAAATGGTCAGGCCTACCTCGATGCGCAAACTCTGCCATTCTTTTAATTGGCAGTCACAAACGCTTTGCCTTACGCCTCCACTACCTTCCTACGGTGTGGAAATGTGCCAGTCCATCAAATGGCACATTCTTCGATCGAGTGGGGATGCGCGCATGAGGGCGCTGTACACTCTGCGTCGGAGTAAGGATGCGAAGCTGACAAAGCGGTATGCGGCGACAATAGAGCTGGAGTGTGCAGAGGCATCAGTAGGTTCAGGGACTCTCCGTCCACCATCATCTTCAAGTCATCGTGCAGGGTTGGGTGCTCGTGCTCCGAAGCAGCATTCCAAACCCCCGAGGAAGGATCTCCTTCAAACATTTGAGGAGATCAACGCGCAGGAGCAGATTTTGAGGCTGAAGACTCTTCAGGTGCAAGGCAAGTGGTTGGAGTGGACATCGGTGATGTGGCAGGATCTCCCTTTTGTACGGTGGTACAAAAAAATGTGGAAAAATGCGGGACACAACACATGAGGGGAATGCAGTACCAGAACAAACATGTGATAAAGTTGTCAGTCCGGTTGCAGCTTGAACAGCCGTAGCACCTTGATGTGCTTCTTTTGTCGACACAGTTCTGGCCTCAAACTGCGAATGTACAGCGCCTCCAGTGTGAATCGGTGCGCGCTGTTCCGGGCTGGTGTGATGACACTGAAGCTGCTGTTGCGTTCCTGCGGGATGCATTCAGGTTGCGCCTGCAAATGCTTTGTGATGGCGCTATCACTTGTTGCCACACGTTTGTCAGGCGGCTTCTTGTGCAGCTTGTCTGGGATATGCTGCTTGATCCTTTCCACTGTTGATCCTTTTTCCACTGCTCCATACATTATTATGGTAGTGTAGTGTGAACTTGAGGCGCGTAAGAATATTCTTGCTGATTCTCTACCCCCAGTATAAATTATGGCTTCGTTTTCGTTCTTGCTCATTCCCATGTACCTACTGATGAAAATGGGTGAAAAGCTTTTAGTATTATGAAACTGACAACCTTGTTGTTGTGTGTATATAAATTTTGTTTGCCTACCTCTCTATTTAAATAATATATATTATATATATGGAAATTTTTATTTCCATTGCTATCAGGTTCGGCCTCATTTCCTCTGTGCTGCGCTGACGAGTCCACAAAGGACGAAACAGTTCTGTCCGCAGATTGAGTATATATATTAGGGCTGAAACAATTATACCGATAACTCGCATATCGATCGTTAAGAGTGCAAAGGATAATCGTTTGTGTTCGAAACGAGTGCTAACGATTTATTAGAACGAGGTCTGTCTCGTTGTCAAGGAAACAACCAATCAGCGACATTCCCGCCAAGAGCCTTATCAGAGTTTAAAGCCCGCTCAATTTTTATTTTACTACTCTTGATGACGCGTCGAGGGCCTTGGATTAGTTTAAAGCCCGCTGAATATACTCTAAACTGGTGCGTACAACTCCCTGTATGCATTATAGTACGGTGCAAATAATGAACTCTGCATAAAATGTACGGTGTACTGCTAAAAGCTACGCATTTCAGAGGTGTGTACGGTTTTTGCCTCCCGTATTCTTTCATCTGTACGAATTTCCTTTGTCAACAGCTTGCGGAAACCTATAAAATCCGAAGATCGAAGTCATTAGAGGTATCGACAAGGGGCTCTCAAATCCCCTGAATAGCTCCACAAGCTATGAGTAAGAATGAAGCTCGCAATTTTTTTGTTTGTGCCCTTCAGGTTAGCCCTCGGGCCTACGGCCCTCAGGCTAACCTGTCGGGCACTAACAAGCCATAAGGCCCTCCCTGCCATGCACTAACCTATAATTATGCATGCATATCAGTGACAGTATTCTAGCCCTTGCACTCCATCCGATAGTGAATACGAGTACAATCATGTACTTCCAAGCGC